ACCACTCGTGGTACTGAGTGGGACTTTGCTCTTGAGCCAATTTGCTAAAGAATCTGAAAAAATCAACGTTCTTAACCAATTAGGTCACGTGCTAAAGCAGTAAAAAATTTCGAAAATTTCGCTTGTTTGGAAGGTTGTGAAAGCGGAAGTTGAAGCCAGACAAAAAATATGAAAGTATGATTAGATTTCCCAGGTCAATGACCTTTAACCATGTTAGGGGAAGGTCATTTAAGGTCAACGTCACTGGATATGAGTCATTAAACTTTGAAAATACAAACATAAAACCAAAAGTTGACGATGAACATCAAATATGAAGGTATTAATCTTTAGCCAAGGTCAATGACCTTCGATCCTACAAAGATCAAGGTCATCAATGGTAACGGTCAAAAGTTGAAAATATGCAAAATTTAAACCCTGTTCCCTTTTTTGAACTACGAAGCGGAAACAACTGATCTTTTCACACAAAATGGCCAAAGGTGTGAGGTAATTGTATGCAAGGTCCTGTTTTGAACAAATGTATTTTATACAAGTTATACCCTGATAAAAATGTAAAGAATAAGTAATTTAAGCCTAATGTGCCACGCCCGAAATTTCAAAAATTTCAATTTTGCATTATATATCACTGGAAAGAGCACGAGGAGCACATGCAGAATCCACAAAAAATTATCCTCAAAGTTAATTAGGTCACGAGCTAGAGCAGTCCAAATTTGGGAATTTGGCTGTTTTTGGACAGCTATAAAACCGGGTCAAATATGAAACATAAACTGATAGCCAAGGTCAATGACCTTTGACCCAATAAAGGTCAAGGTCATCAAAGGTCAAGGTCAAAAATTGAAAATTGTGAATTTCCAAAACCTGTTCCTTTTTTTGAATTATAAAGCTGAACTAACTGACCTTCTAAGACAAAGTGGCTCAAAGGAGGACGTAATTGTGAGCAAAGTTCCATTTTGAACAAATGTATTCTTTGCGAGTTATGTCTTTGGCTAAAAAAGTCAATAATGAGTAATTTAACCTGGATGTGCCACGCCCACCAATTTATTTTGCATAGGTTAATTGATATTCAAATTGTGATGCTATGTTCAAAATGTCAAGCTTCTACATCATGCAGGTCAAAAGATATAGGTCAACAAAAGTCAAAAAAGGTCAAAATCGAAAATTGAAAATATGGAAATTTTAAAACCCGTTCCTTTTTTGGAACTATAAATGAAATAACTGAGTTGTTAACACAAACTAGCCAAAAGGATGAGGTAATTGTGTGCAAAGTCCCTTTTTGAACAAATGTATCCTATGCGAGATATGCACCTTCCTCTAAATGTAAACAATTAGTAATTCAACCCGGATGTGCCACGCCCACCTCAACTTTTTTTGTCATAAGTGAATTCATATTCAACATATAGTTATGTTCCAAATTTCAAAATTCTACATCAAGTAGATCATAAGATATACATACACCAAGCTCAAAGAGACATAAATATGGTAAAAAACCACTCGAATTTGAAAAAATCAAGAATTTCAATTTTGCTTTAAAAGTACGATTGTTATATATCACTGGAAAGAGCATGGGAAGCACATTAAGAATCCAAAAAATTGACCCTTTAGGTTATTTAGGTCATATGCTAGATCAGTCCAAAGTTGCGAATTTGGCTGTTTTCGGAACGCTATTAAACCGGAAGTACAAGTCGGAGGTCAAATGTCAAAGTATCAACTGATAGTCAAGGTCAATGACCTTTAACTCTATAAAGGTCAAGGTCATCAAAGGTCAAGGTAGATAGAACTTGCAAAAACTTCAACCGGAAGTTGCAAAAAATGAAAAGCGAAATTCAAAAATCTGCTTCCTAGCTTTTGTTGGCAATCGATTGTAGATTACATACACATCAAAATTATACACGCCCATTTCTTCACAGCGGCCCCATTTTTCGAATTACAAAAGTGTGTTTTTTCAATATGGCGGCCGAAGTATCACTTCCGGTCTGGATTTTATTTTAAAATCGGCCATAGAATTTCATTTGGTAAAAATCAGCTAAATTTTATTGACCTACATAAATTACACCGAAAGTTATTCAACCGGAAGTAGATTTAAAAATCAGTCGCTTTCCTGTTCAAAAGCAGAAATGACGTACACAATTTGACTTTACCATATTATTAACATTAGTAAAGTCTCTTTGCATTTAAAATTTCAGATCAATCGATGCAAAAGCAAAAAAGTTGCAAAAAAATTGAAAAATTTGATCGAAAAAAGTGAGCTACGAATTTTCGAATTTCGTAATTTTTCAAGTGCTATCAGGTCAGATATTACAGGTAGATTGTAAAAACGGAAACCCGAAGAAAATCGACTTAAAAATGCGACATCTAAAGCCTTTTTTCTACTTTTTACACATGTTGAACTGTGGCACTTCCGGTTTTGCAAAAATCTTCCAATTTACACTTAAGCACATCGTCGCCTATATAGAAGGTCTATGATAGTTGAAAGGTTGTTGCAACTACCAGTCTAAGCACAGGAAGGTGTCGATAACAAACTGGGACTTTGCAAGGTCCCACAAAAACATCTCTATTTTATCTGCCGATCCAACTATGCCATAAACCTTACATAGTTGCGTAAGTCGCATTAATATTCACAGTATAGTACAGATATTTTTTTTCATTTCCAACCGTGGTCCAATAAACAACATATGTATCTTCATCGTTCTTCAACGGTTATTGTGTTGTAACACCAGGCTGTAATATAAGTTATGTTTAGTGTATTTGTTGGATAGTTTAAAGGAGCTTTGATAGGAGGAATCTCAAGTTCACTTTGAGATTTGTAGAATCCAAGAGTAAACGACTACTACAACGACTGAAGATCAATGGCTAGAGTGCGCATCCAATCGAGTCAAGGTTGTTTTACATCAAAATTTGGTTGTTTTACATCAAAATTTGGATCTGGTCTTTCCAATTGAACCAAGCAAGCGACTTATCCGACCTCTGTACTACTGTGACGTATTCGGCGAGTTTTTGTGAATCGACATTTATTAGCAACTTATACATGACAGTTTATACAGGTTGTCTCTATTTATTGTGGATTCAATCCATAATACTTCCGGATTTTTCAACCCGGTTTCTTCTTGTCGGTGATGAAGTTAAGAGGGACGGACATGGAAAAAGCGTCTAATCGATGCCCCGTGTGCCACAGGCTGTTCACGTTAAAGATCCCCCGACAGTTGGAAATCGAAAAAGAGCAGGCTAATGCCGCTGTCCGGTCAAAATTCACTCTGCATGATACAGAAAAGTAGGACGTAAAAATCCATTCATTTCTCTTTATTGTGTTGAATTTATTCAGTTATCATGGTCGGTTATTTTTATGACTGAATACGTGTATATCTAATTATTAACAGCTGGTTGTTTGTTAAGGCATATAATTAGATACCGTTTACATATTGCAGATGAACCCAGTTATATATGATGGGACTGTCTGATGTTTAACGTTACTCAAGGTAAGCCGTATCTAAAATACGATACATGTAGGTTGATCCCGATCTAATGAAGGGTGTCTGTGTTGCAGGTCGGATGGCTGACATGGAGAAAGTGTCTTGTCTTGATGGAACAATAAACAGTGATCCTGTGTGTTACATATCGAATTCACATCCTTATTTGTGATTAATATAGCCTACTTCTTATTCCTCATAATTTTATTTACTGGGTTTTGTAACTTTTGTTCTTCAATTGAATTGTTAACATGGACATAGACCTGTAATTCATTTACCATTTGTTTCATTAATTCACGAAATTCAACCTATGACATTTTTAACTTCTGGACAAAATATATCATGGCCATGAAAATCTTACGCTTGCCAAATTGAAAGTAAACTAACACATGTTATCAACATCAGCTTAACTGTCACTGCACGCAAAACGACTATTTTAAAAACATCTTGAAGCATGAAAATCTCTCAAAATCTGAAAGGAAACATCAAATTCCAAATCTTGACCAAAAATAAGTTTTAAAAAAAGGCAGGGAGAAAGAGAATTTCTTAATATAGCACGGACTACATGCAATCATTAGCAGAAAATGGTTTAGAAGACTCGATCCACATTATATAAATAATATTTTTATCAGTTACCTCCCTTGAACTAGAAAATATGAATAATCTTGTGACTATGATTAATGTTATACTGATTATGAAAAGTGCATCACAAGTATTGTCAATATGGTGTTTTGAATGAGGGGTTTCGTTTTGCGATTTGGATCGTTAGTTTTCTACTGAAAATCAATATTACATAAGAATCTGTCACTTGGTGAGAGAAGCACGAAATTTGGGGACAGAGGTGCCAAAAAGTCACTAACTAGATGAATGAAAAAAAAATGGAAGGATCGGACTGCAGACAAAGTTGATACGGAAAGACTACTTATCTGTTTAAAAAACGCTAGAGATCGTACGATGTTTCATTCATACGAGGTCTATCATTCATTCTGCATGTAAATATTCTTCAGGCTAAGCTGCCTGTATAAGGAGCAAAATGCAAACAGAAAGCCAGACTAACTGGCAGTTTCTAAAAGATTGGAGAGGTCTGCAGAGTTCTCTAGTCAAAGCTTCCTGCAATTTCGGCAATTGACAAAAGGTGGATTCTAGACTGACTATCAATTCATAACATCTTGACGAAAATTTCTGAATATTTTTCCAAAAATGATTATTTATGAAAGGGTAGATTTAGAGTTCAATTCCCAAGTTATTATTCATTGACCAGGAGTCATCAATATATAGAAAAAGATATTTGTGAGCTATGGCTCTTGTCCTTCAAGTTGGTTCAAATGTTTGGCTTAAAAACAGACACATCGGTTACAGCTGATTTAACTGATCTCACAGTGCGCGTCTTTGACCTTACCAGATAAGCTATCAGTTTACACTTTTTTATGACTATTGACGTTGGCAGCTAAAGTAACAAAATCATTAAATTTTAAGTTACACTAAACCTGCTGTTTATCAGAACCAAGGTTAAACTTTAAATCGATTCAATTTTAAGATATGGACAGTAACGGTTCTTTGGAACCTGTACAAGATGGGCCAACAGATCACGTATGTAAGATTGAGGAAGCATCAAAAGAAATCGATCAATTGGAATCCAAGCCACTAGTGTCTGAAGATGGAACCAACGGTATTGTGGATAGTAAGTAAGTACACATTACCAGTGAATGATTCAATAACTTGTGAGAGTATAACCACTTAGGAAGATTAAGTGACTGAGATTTGGTCGTAAAACCAACATCTACATGGATTCAGAATTGCATATTATACTTAATACGATTTGCTGCATGGGAGAAGAAACTGGGATGTCGACAAACATTTCAGCAACAATGGCACAACTTACAATAGCTGATACTACTGGAGATTACGTTTTTAATCCTTGGTAATAGGGCTCACCATGAACCAAGTGAACGAACATTTTTGGTGATTTGTTCTTACAGGAAAATAGATGAACCAATATTCAAACGAAGCAGATACGAAAAACTGTTAAGCCAATGTGTGGTGGTGTTTAGCGCATTTTGGTGTATGTTCTTTTCTCTTGGTATTTCGTTTTCTCTTGGAACGTTTTTACCGGCATGGCTGGAAGTGTTTCAAGAAGGTCGTGCCAAGACGTCATTAATACAGTCTGTACATGTAGGTGTTCTGTTCGGAGCTGGTAAGCACGTTTTTGGTTATCAAACAAGAGCATCTCATATGCCAGCCTGATAAGCCGGTCATTAAGTCTTAATTAGTTAATGGTATTTTACATCTTTTGCATCAATTTATAATCATCCCATTTAAAACAAGTAAATACCGCCGAACAAGCGAAACACAAACTAAATTAATGTCATAGTTCATGGCAGAATTGACCCTCTACAACCGACACGCCCCTTTCAGATCACTTTGTAAACATTTAGTCTTCATCATTTAGTTTGCTTGCCCTTATGCCCCATTATTGATATTATCACTGTGTTCTGCTATCTGAATCGGCTGTATTAAAATTAAAGCCAATACAATGAACGGAACGAAAGTTTGGTCTAAATAGACTGCAAAGTGAAAACCATGTTAATTTTTTGGAAAGACATTTTGTATATTTCATCTATTTAAGGAACTATTGTTGGTGTGTTGACAGAAAAAGTTGGCCTGAAAGTGACAATGGTGGTCGGATCTCTGTTATCATCTATTGGTTTCTTATCAGCCTTCTTCGCTCCTAATATAACAGTTTTGATAGGTACCATTGGTGTTATATCTGGTGAGCAGTACAATAAAACCATGTTCGCGTCATCCTGTCAACATTTAAGGCGAACTGTTGTGAACAGATCAGAGAATGCGCAATAACGCTTGAGTTTCTAATTAAGCGTAACATGAGGTGGTTCAGACCAATCGGTGCCGCAGATCGTAAAATCATGCTGATGTAATAATGGTACAGGAGATCTTTATGAAGCGTATACTTGATTTCGGTATTTTAATTTCAAAATTCATCAATAGTTGGTTAAGCCTCCCTTAAGAAACAAACACTATGCTATATAAATAAATGTGAACGACGTTTGCCTAAGGTGTTACCAGATGAAGATGACGAAATGTCATGCAACGCCATATTCAAATACAGGCTGCACATTTTCTCTAAGGAAATAGTTCAGAATCTTCAACTATATTGACTGTTATAATCTAGTGAAGTAACTTACGTGAATTGAAGAAAAATACAAACATAAACCGATATTAAGCGTTCACTATGTCATAATCTTCGTTTCTATTCTAGGCTTTGGGTTGTGCTGCGTATATTTGAGTGGTATGATAGCCGTCACGGCAGCATGTTCCAAATCAACTAGTATTGCTCTTGGATTTGTCATCGCTGGTGGTGGGATTGGGCAAAGCGTGATGCCGTTTATCTGTGATCATCTTCATAACACTTACGGATGGAGAGGTGCCTTTCTCATAATCGCTGGACTTTCATTACAACCCGTTATATTTGCTTGTCTTATGACGGCTTTCTTGAAACCGACCCAATCAAAATCTGGTACATCCAACAATGTAAAAACTAATCAAAGACTTGTGGAGAAGTTGAAGCAAGTGTGTCATCCGCGTTATATAATAACTTGTTTAGTAACATCTATAGCATTCGCGGAAACCAATGGTTTTCTGTTTATCTTGTTTGACTTTGCGATTCAGCGTCAAGGAGACGGAATATTTTTCATTTTCCTTATAACAACTACATCTACAGTTTGCAACATCATTTGTGGAATTGTAAGTCGTCATCCACGAATAAGTAGCTCTGTATTATTGTCAGTCTCAGTGATGCTTGGAAGTTCGTCCATCATTTTATTGGGAGTAACGAACAGCTATACAGAAACTTTGGTGTTTATGGTTACTTTTGGTGTAGCGTACGGTGGTTTGATCGCAATAGCGGGTATAGTTATTCTAGATCTGGTGGGGAAAGAAGTATACCCATTAGGTATTGGTATCAATGTCACTATAAATGGCATCGCAAGCTCTGTAGGTGGGATAATATACGGTATGTACAAATTAAATTTTTATACGCCCACATCTCTCTATGTGGACGTATATTGTGGGCACCGTCCGTCCACATTTGCTTGTAAACGCTCTAAAAACTGGATTTTTTGATGGAATCAAATGAAATTCGGTATGTGTATGCATATTCATAAAACGAAGATCAAGTTCGAATTTGAGCTATTTTCGACCGTTAGAAGCAGAGTTATGGCCCTTGCCCCAATATCTTGAATATGCTATTATTCTCTTAGTTTTCAACCGATTTTTATGAAATTTAAAGTAGATGTTATTGGACCTAAATCGAAAGGTTTGAGAAAGTTTAGATTACTTCTAGTTAAATTTAAGGCTTTTTCAAGATTACATCTGTTTTGAGGAGTTATCGCCCTTTAACCTTTATACAGTAAGTGCTTCTATCAACATCAATTGCTCGTAAACACGAAATGGAATTCGGTATGTGCATACATATTCATGAAACGAAGATCAAGTTCGAATTTGAGCTATTTTCGACCGTTAGAATCAGAGCTATTGCCCTTGCCTAAAAATCTTGAATATGCTATTACTCTTAGTTTTCAACCGATTTTGATGAAACTCAAAACGCATGTTTCGTTTTTACCATCCGCATGCCGTGGTGGGCGTATATGGCTGTGGTCCACTATCTTATTATAAAGAGTTTGAATGAGTAGTGGTCTTGACAAAGACAAATAAGGGTCTAGAGATGAGCAATCTTGAGGTCGGTATTTTGTTTGTGAAAGGTTCAAATCCCGCGTTCGTTTCAGTACATGGTGGCTGTATCAGCACTATCGCGTTCTTTTCTTTATGTTCTGATCAAATTCTTACAAGCTTTTCTAGTTCCGACGAGTCTCGTTTTGACACATGAAACGTGGATGACTGATAGTTTTCAAAAACGTGTTAGATCCTGGCATGTAATAATATAAACAATTTTGGGTGAAGGATGATCATCTTGCCTTAAAACAAATACATCAATATAAATACTGTAAATTGTGCGATGTTTCTTTTCACTTTCAGGTCTGCTTTACGATCTGACACAGACGTACACAATATCTTTACTCAGTATGGGAACAGTAACTCTTGTCGTAGGTACATTACCAATCGTAGCCTTAGTCATATCTCAAAGACTGTTTTATCACCAACGCGAAAAAGGGCGTACATAGATTGTGCAGTGTGCATGACTCATATAGAACGGTGGTTATATTAAGTGGGAATGTTATTGTTAATAGTTAATAATAGGAATATTCTGAACGTTGAGTCTGTAACAGTACAAATTGCGAAAATACAATTGTTTTAGAATAAAATTAAATGGGGTAACAATATGAAAATAAAATATCGAATGGGATAAAAGTAGGAAAAGAAATGGTCTCGTGAAAAGGTAAGATTGACCAATTTACACAATTGGCATCATGGCATTGGCAGAAGACTTCAGGTCTGCAACTTGGATTTGCAACCCATCCGTTTAAGAGATACACATTGATGGTAATATTTTAGTATATTATATTTATTTACTATGACAACGACCTAATCAACGACCCGATACCGTTATTAAGACGATAACATCGTAATCCAAAACATCAAGTGTACAACACCGGAAACTGTCAAAGGGGAATACCACAAATATTGTACGTGTGCATTTTTGGGCAATGAAATGTGTGCCCTGTTGATATCGTGACAAAATGAAGAGGTCTGTTTCGGAAAATGGCTTCACGAAAACTCTTGGAAATCAGTACAATAATCTGTTAATTTGGATTCCACATCCAAACCCGGTGTTGCAGAAAGATATTCTCTGCATTTCACCTCGCGAACAAATCTGAAATTGTTACGTTGGTGGCAGTCATTTGAACATCAAAATCAGTATCCTGTGTATAACGTTTAAGGAAAAGCTAACCAAAACACATGGTAGGCAATGCAACGTTACATGCACCCCCTCTATAAGGGCGACTTGTCAACCTATATGTGTACAAAAACGTTTGAATATGTCTGTCCAAATAAAATGTAATTGTTTCACTTTAGTTTAGTGTATCAATGTATTATTATATTATAGTGATTGTCTAGTAATCGAAAAGTCAGTTGTTTTAATTGGTGATTGGTTCAAATTTACAGAGGGCACTATTAAACTAACTGGACTTTTACCACACTATTTTTTTAATGTGTTCGCTCTCTTTGACTATGTACTGCTTCTTTTACTTGATAAAAGCTTTGATCTGGTTCTGGGCCATTTGTGTCATTAACTTGATTGGGGTATGAGTAAATCAATGTATTGCACCTTGGAACGACTAGTGAGAGGATAGTAAATGCAACACTAAAGGGAGACGATTAACCACACACCCAAGTTATTTGATTAGGATAGATCTATACTGCCATGTTTAAGTATGCTTTCCATCCAGTGATTAAAACGGAATCAAACCATTCCTCTTCGGAAATTCAAATTCATCAAGGAAGCAATGATCTGTCAGATTGAACTTCCTTTTAAGGAAAACAATCGATAAATTTTCTCTTGTCAAAGCCAGTACATTCCCTTGGCCAAATCACACAGCTGCCGTATCGGTTATCTTCATCGTTTGGTCTATCTGCCTCTTTTTTTAAGAAAATACATGTATATTTATTATTATAAATATCAATAAAAAAGTTCAATATTGACTTTGATAATGAATGATATTATTTACAATTCACAAGTAAGCCTACTTTCATAAAATATTGTCAATTATAACATACTTTTAAAATACCTCCCATTTCATCTGCTGAGTTTGGAATTACTCGTTTAGTGGTTTTCCATCTTTACGATAGAATTAAATATTGCCCGACTGACTGAAGTTAAGTTCTTTTATTAAAAACTCTTCGCACTAAATGTGCCGACAACTTCCAACTTCCAAGAAGTAAAATATATCGAGTTTCCAAAAAAGAAGAAAATAGAAGGCACAAAGGTAAGTTGCCTTGATATTGCATTTTCTGATATGCGTTTTTGTTCAGGGCAGTGCTTGTACAATTAGTATTGGATGGCTGTCATATTTTCAGGGTTGGACAACGACATCTTGAAGACTATCTGTGATAATTTTGAAAGAGATCAGGTTACCAGCAGCTGAGATACTAATTGTTGAACCTTGTGACCCGATACAGTTGTTCCTTTAATAATACTTAGGTAACAAATCACGCTAAGCAGAAATGATGACACCGGCACAATGTATCTGCATTTGCCGTGGCAGTCCTTTTGACTCTTCTTGCTGCCCTTATCCCGCCATTGAGACCTTCAAATTCTTGAACCGACTGAGACAATCCGTCGATGATATAATTTAAATGGATATCACTAGGACTGAATATTTTTATATATAACCAAAAGCGGTGTTTGAACAAGAAAACATTCTTGTAATTTTCACTCACCAACCTCTCGAAAATTGAAATGTTGGTGGCGGAGAAACATAAATCTCGGCTTGTTTCCTAACCCTTACTTATATTCTCTAACATTTTTAAGCACATAATTAAAAAAATCTTCTTACCTCTGAGTTCAAGAGTGTGTTTTCTGTCTAATATCAAGTTAAAAAAAATCTTCCTACTTCCAAGTATGGAAAATATAGTTGTTCCTTCTTAATGTTGTATTCAATGTTCTGGTTATGGTATGAAGCTTCTAGAAATGCAGAATGGATGGAACTTGTACATTTGTATCTGCAATTGTCTTGGAAATTTGTAATTGTTCTACACGGTGGCACTGAATTACCACAGATCTTCTGAGGAAATCTAAACAACCCAATTCTCCCCCTTTTGGTATTGATTTTAGATGGACTGTAACTGTTATATTAGCTGCCTCATCTACATTATCGTTTAAGTGAGTTTGATTTTATTATGCCTTAGAATTGTCACTAGATCTATGTAAAAATTAAGTTTGACGTTCTTCCAAGACTTATAGATTCAGAACTTTTTATTCTGATATCAGAATGGCTGTTCAAAAACCTGCGTTGTCAATCAATCTGACGTAGTTTCATCCTATTTGTGATTCATTAATACCATAGTAATGGAACACGTCCTATGGTGGTAATAGTTGTTTTTTTTTTGCATTCTGGATACTGTTATAAGTATTCAACAAGTTTATTTTCCTGCTCGTTAGAAAATATTCTGAAACGAGCATAATTTTGAACTACTTTGTTACTTTGTCAATTGCAGTAGTTTAACTTGTTTCAGATATTTCTAGAATGTTACTCGTTTTACAGCCACTTCTTTGGGAAGAAATGAGTAAAACATATTCATTAGCATCTGAAAGCAAAAAAATAATTCATTAATCGCATAGCCACGTCAAATTGATACGCCCACATCTCTCTATGTGGACATATATTGTCGGCACCCTGTCCGTTCGTCCGTCCGTCAACATTTGCTTGTAGACGCTCTAAAAACTAGACTTTTTGATGGAATCAAATAAAATTCGGTATGTGTAGACATATTCATAAAACGAAGATCAAGTTCGATTTTGAACTATTTTTAGTTATTGCCCTTGCCCCAAAATCTTGAATATTTACCATCCGCATGCCGCGGATATGGCTGTGGTCCACTATCTTTATATTATGTTTTTTGGTATACTAACTAATATTGATGAACATAATCATATCAATCGCAATTTCATGTCCTTTACACTAACTGCGTTTCCACTGACAATTGTGAAGCAAAGCTAGCTCTAAGGTAGCTTAGAGCTAGCTTTAATGCTGAACACGTTGCGTTTACACTGAGTTTTTCTGGTTTCCGAACGACTTTGGTCTCGATCATAAAGTCGCACATTATTGACAGCGCGCGATGTACAAGACTATCGTTAAACTCTTTACTTATTTTTAAGTAGACCTTTTTGTCTCTGATGGTTCCATCCAACAAGGCTTGAATATCCTCTCTGCCCCAAATTTCTAAAAGGGAGAGAGTCTCTTCGTCTGTCCATCCGTTTGCTATGGAAGCTGCCATTTTTAAAGTTGCGCGCGCTGCCGGAAAGACAAGTACGCCGAACGAGAAAAAGCCGGCTTTTTGTGTTTCCACTGAGTAAACGAAAGCCGGCTTTCATTTGGCCCCCGATAAATTGCCGAGCGAGAAAAGCTTCAATTGCCGAACCGTTACGGTTCCCGAACGCTAACGGTTCGGCAATTTGTCAGTGGAAACACAAAAAGCCGGCTTAGAGCCGGCTTTTTATGTCAGTGGAAACAGTTACTATTTTACATGTCCATAGATTGTAGTCTGTGTATAAAATATATAATATAGGTTGCCTCCCTTGAACTATCGCAGAGTATGACGTTAACGTCATGGAGTATCCAACTTAACGTCAGATTTCCTGTATTACAGAAGAACTTCCAGATTAACTTGATTCTGATCCATTGCAAAAAAAAAATATCCCTTTTATTACCAAGGTTGGAAAAGAAAAAAATGTATCGGAAAACAATATCCCTTAAAAACGAAAGAGACCAAATCGGGCATATAGATGTCTCAGAATAGAAAACCACGTTTGATGGACAAGCTAATGTCATCCAGTGCAATTCTTGGTAATTAACCAAATCAATGTGTGTAAGGACATGATAAACGTAAATAGGATTGTAATTTTCTTATCTGGATTCACTACTATGTACTTGTCAAAGAAAAGTGCGCTTCAAAATTTATCTTTATAAATAATCACATCCACAGTTACCGAGACAACGTGGCAATAATTAATCTGTCGTGTAAATTAACTGTATTTGGACTCGTATTTTTCTATGAAAAATGTCTCATTATACCTGATGCAGATATCTACTGTACTGTGCTGTATTTACTTAATTAAGTACAGAAACAGACTGAATGTACATAAGAGTCATAAGGTATTTCATACCAACCACAAATTTTGTTATATTTAAATATTTCACATACTGCCCGTAGGTTATATTTTAGAAAAGAAAAGTGAGAATTTTTTAATGGACTTGACATTATCGTGTAATTAACAATATCATACCAACTGATTCACAGCGATTAACATAATCTATTTATAGTTGTTGTTAACACTACCCAGAAAAAATGGGTCGTTTCTTAAAAATTGAAAGGAAGTCGACATTCTAGTTACAAAAAATATGCACAAAATTACAAGTACAAAGAGGTAAAGTTTATAGTTATATATTGCAGTTTCCTTTTTATAATAAACAGTGATGTTCTTATTTGGATTCATACGTCTCTAAAGTCGAAGTTATCATCCATCCTGAACACGAGTTCCTTAAACCCATCAAAACAGGAATATTTGTTTAATATGGTTAGTCTTCAAGACAACTGATATTACTTTTCATTATGAAATAATTACTCACTTATGATTGCTATATTTCCACATTTGAAAAGTTCATTAGCTGCTACTAATGGGACGTCAATATGTTTTTTGGATTCCGGGTTTTGTTTTGCAGTTTGGATCTTTAGTACTTGATTTATTCATGTAATAGCGTGCTTTGATAGATTTTATAACGTAGCCCGTCGTATGTACATTATAATGAGAAAGTCAGAGATGAGGTAGGCACACGCTGGCATTGCTCTGCAAATGGTCGCGGTGGCTCAGTGAGTTAGACGTTTGCTCGCTAACTTGAAGGTTCAAGCGTTCAATCCCTGGACTAGGCCGAGATAATATCTTCGGATTTTTCAACCCGGTTTCCCCCTGTCAGTGATGCAGTAAGAGGGGCTGACATGGAAAAACCATCTAGTCGTTCGGATGCGACAATAAACCGAAGACCCGTGTGCTACAGGATGTGCACGTTAAAGATCCCTCGACAGTTGGAAATCGAAAAAGAGAAGGCTAATGGCGATGTCCTGACAAAATTTCCCTCATCGCACCCTGCATGGCGTTTCCCGTCTCCATTAGCCCACATGGTGCAGAAAAGTAGGACGTAAAACTCCATTCATTTCATTTTTTGTAAATGGTCTTGATTTTGATTAACAAAACTTAGATATTGGAGAGGTGTATGAATCTCCCACATTTACAGGCATGGTTTTTCTTCACATAACTTTAAGGTATGTTAATAATTTGTATATAATGTATATTGTAGAGGTACAAAAATAATGAGGTCTTGTTACTGAAATGTGTCATTCGCCTTGTTGATTTAATTTAACAACAAACATAGTTTACCGTGCTACATTAATGACATATTTATGAAACATACAGTGTCATTATGTTCAGAAAATTAACATTTATAACTTTTAAGTTAAAACTTGAAAGAAGACAATTTAGTTTTACCCGCTCGAGTCTTGCATCGTGAGGAATATCAAGCCCTCGTTGTCTTGCTGTATTCAGTGCCTCAATCCTTCGAGTCTAATTCGATTATTTTCACGAAAATTTGAATAGCATCCTCAAAATAGTAATTTTTGTCTTAGAATGATAAAATTATCTAAAAAAAATTTTGCAGAGGAAAATTTCCAGCTTTAATTTGTCTATTTGTGGGGTTGAAATTTGCCATGTAAACATACAAAATGTTATATTCTTCCTACCCATTTCTTCACAATATTCTTTCAATTAATGACAAGATAAACATCAGAAACAAAATTGTTTTATGTATTTATCCACTGGGTTTAATTTACATGAGTATTTTGTAATCATAATAATAGTTAGATCTTAAGCACAAAAGGACACTCTCTGGGACAAGTGCGCCATTTTGTTTTTGACCAATCATAACATAGACTCAGAAACGTGATTTTTTTTTTAGCTAAGCCATTCAGTAATAGTGTTCACAGCTCACCGTCAAAATTTAAGCCTTCAAATCAATGTGTGTCCAGAATTATCCGCGTTTAAAAATTAAAAGGTCGAGTAGTCTTCCATATAGATTGGACAATGTACTTTATGGACTGAGTAGTCATTAAATCCTGGACTGGATTCTTCACCAAAGGGTTAAAAAAAACATCACACAATTTTTTTTTATTAAAAAAGATTTATTGTCAGATTTTTCTGAATTTTTATTCATTTTGAATTTGAATAATTAAAACTAGTAACATCATAAAAATTATATTAAAACAAATTTTTTTTTAATTATAAATTTCCAAAATCAAGTACGAAGGAAACATACATAATTTAGAATAATGACAGTGAATTATTAAAACGGAAAATTTAGAAGAAAATGTCCCTTTGTAAAAAGGAAGAAATTGCCTTGTCAAATTAAAATGAGCATGAGCAAAGTTTGGTATAAAATATAATAAGATCGAAGAATGGACGTCTAATGGACGATGCATTTCTGTTCTCTAAAATATGGAAGGTAATCAAATAAATTATCTCCGTCAATAAATACATCAAATATTTCGGTAGACTAACACAGACTTACGCAGGGGTCACAAAATCAGGTTAACATAATCAAAATAATTTAATTTTTGCTGAATAACATAAAACATTGTACCAAAGCTTTACAAAAGTTTATAACATAACTTACTTAACGAAAAATATAAACCCTGCAAACTTTGAATTCGGGCAAATTTACAGATAATATACATCTAAAATGTCTAGGTCTAAAGAATTGAAAAAAAATGTTAAAAAATTTCGAATATTTTACTAACAAATCTGATTGTACTAAAATAAGTTTGATGATAATTCCATATTCTGGATTACATTTACACATTCTTTTCAATATCTGAACTCACACAACCTCACACTCACTTTCACACTTTGGACTATTACTCCGTAATGATTTGCATTGGGCTGCCATTGATCTTACAGAATTTTGAGAGAAAGCTGTCTTAGATGACCTCTTACAAAAGTCTTTTTGCAAGGTATTTGAAAAAATGCCAAGACGATCATATGTTATGACACAAAGATGGTTTTCGTAATTGTTTGTAGATCACACTAAAGCCTAAGAAGACTAGAATCCACAAAACGTCTATTGATACAATAATTCACCTTTTATTATGTGTCATTTACAGAACGAATGTTTTAATGATATAGACTTGGAACGAAGACGGTAACAATAAATGGCTTACAGACTCAAATGCGCCTGTGAAACCAATCGCTTGCGTCTGTTGTCGAGAGTAAATAGTAAATGCATACCGGTATTTCAAATATATACACATTACTATGTACAGAGGATATGCTAAAAAAAAGTTTTGCCCTATTTTAAAAACATGTTAAAAACTATGCTTAAAAACATTGGCATTATTTTGATCACGTGATCTATGTAGTCTCTACGTACAAATAACAGCATCTGAATATATACAAGCTTTTCTTACGAGGCTTTATCACAAGCTTTTTATTTATGACCTTCTGAAGAAACTATGGGTCGTGCAGTATTAACAAAGCTTTATATTCTCGCTGTTAAGAGTATCTTCTCAATTTTGAAAGGTCATCACTGTACATTATATCCCCTCCGTCTCAAATTCGTTGGTCATTGGTAGTTTCTCTATCGAATCGATTGCATCATCATTGGCGGAATTGGTTTGATACACATCGTCAATTAACTGAACTTTTGACATATCCTCATTGTCACGGAGTTGATGTCTCTGCAGTCTTGGTTTCAGTAAATCAACGATTCTCTGAAAAAAGGTTTTAAAAATGTCAATAGGACTGATAGTATACATGGTTGATGTTATTATGCCTGTGGTAGATGTTGTTAAAAAAAATTTTTGTGAACGCAGTGTAGTACTGAAGTCCCGTTTTGACGCTGATATTCATATTTTGACTGTGATATGACTACTGTTTTAATTTCCAAGGTCAGAAATCGCATATATCAACTATCTCATCTCATTTGCTCCCAGATTCTGCCTGATCGACATAAAGGCACTTATACGATCAAAGATTGACAACATCACTCACCTCTTTCAATGAACCTTTTGATTTCAGTATTTTAAATATAACAACAATTGGAATAAATACAACAGAGGCTAAAGCCAAACACCATCCTACAGCGATAGCCCAGGTGGGATATGAGTAAGTTATCAGTTTTCGTTTATACGTCAGTTCGGAATAACTTATAGCTCCCAAGACGAAGATGGACTGAAATAAATATAAAGGTAAATTCATTTGGAACGAATTTAATATTTTTCATAAGAAAATTCCAAGTACCAACCAAAGCCTAAGTTCTTCCAATGAATTTTCGAGGATAAGGAGCAATTTATCTGTACGATACTAAATCTCATTTTAATCTGCATGCATACCCAAGTTCGTACTTCAATTACCTATTTTGGAAAAGCAACAAGAAGACACACAGCATCCCCCTTCAATTCAGATCAGTTATTGAGTTTCAGAAACAGTATGCCTTTGATTACAATTTTGGGTAGCAAGGTCTCAATATATATATATATATGGAAGAAGAGAGATCGGAATTTAGCAGAAAGAAGCTATTCATGTCCCTAATTCAGAAAACCTTTAATTATTACTTACAAAAGTAAATACTGGAGTGATAAATGTCCAAGCTATTTTCATGAATGGGCCAGGTCGGAAACCAAACATCATTTGCAGATTGTCATAAAACCGATCTATCCCTAAAATAGAAGAGGAAAAAAAAACGTTTAAATATCAATCACCGTGGAATTTCTACACCTATCACAAATCATAATATTATATTATTTTTGTTTCGTTAAGGTGGTAGGGGCATTCTAACCCTCTGGAACATTCGTTGCTAAATCAACAACGGATTGGGTGTTTTGTTGATTTCATTTTTTTTACGCTTCCATCAAAACCACTGGTCATACCAGGAGGTAAAAATTGCTAGAAAATCCCACCCGCCTGTGCCTCTTAAAGAAAAAACTTTTATAAATAACTCGTCATCCTTTTAAGTCATCTATCAATGTAATCTTCAAACTGCATTGGTATCTCATAAACAGCGTATTATAAATAAACATATTTTTAGTATTTATTTAAGCAGATTAAACGCTTCCCTATGGAAAAGGATTAACTATTCCCCCACCCCCTCCATTTTCCCTGTGGAATCATTATTCCCAATAAAATGTTCGTGATTTTCTGGTTTCCTTAATATTTGGTTATAAAATGTAAACAACTTTCCAATTGAAAACCTGTATCCCTATCGAACAAACGAATCATAGCTCATGCAAGCTTCGATATGAATATGTAAAAAAATAATAATTTAGCCGAACCTTCACAAACAAAATCCGATCGAGGGAAAAAAACAAAATTCTACCGAAACCAATCTATGGAAAACCCCAAACATCAAAAAAACTGAACTCTCATGCTTTTAGATTTGAAGTCAAATGTCATAAAAAGGGAATACGTTATGGTACCTAAATCATGTTAAATTCAACTAACAAACAATGCATTCTATTTTTAAATACCACCTTATACCAAAACATACCGTAAATGTAAGCAACGACGATACACTCGAAGAAGGCCACTACAAGAACTATCCGGCTGGCAGAGTAGTAGTCGAATAGCTGAAATACATACATCCCGCCCTAGGAAAGGCGGGAATTGTCTTAGTATACAATAAAATATTTTTTTAAAAATTAAAAACCATCCTACCTTGTATTCATATTGACGTGTAACATTATATATATTTATTTTTCAAATATCAAATTTCAAACTTTTTCAATAGCTTTTTGTTAAAAAAATCAAAATTCATGAATTCTTGTAAAGGGCAAATGTTGACATTTGTATGAAAAAGAATAATTGAAATATATAACAGATATCAAGGCATGCCATCAAGCAAAAAATGTATCTTAATGGAATATATGCTGTTAAAATATCAAAAACAAAATATGAAGTGTACTTACTTCAGTCACCATGGACAATCCGATGAAAAACGAGAGAATACAGATTCCAAGAATTAAAAATTCTCGACGTTTACCCACTCTAAAGATTTGTGGTTTTAAATCCACAACAGCGGTAACAAATCCTTCAACTCCAACAAACTGTAACAAATATTCAAAGATATTGAAACCTATCGTAAAGTATAGATAACGCCTTGTGAAACGTTTGAAAGTGTAATTTTCATATATCACTGTTCTATTGTTCAAGCAGTTAATCAAATGGTTGATGAAAATGGTCTAAAATCACAACTGGTCAGATCAGTTGGTCTTCTGCAAAAAAGCAAAATTCGGATGCAAAATGTACTAATCCCATTGGTTTGCAATCCAGATAAGAACGTGTTCTTTTCAGAAGCATAATATTTTGTATCTCACCACAATCAAAAACCCTCTCATCTTTCAGTAGAAAAATTGCCTCCAGTCTCTCTGCTTTGCTGATATGTAAAATACCATTTGACTATACAAATTTACGTTACAGATCAGGGAACTAGCCTAAATCATAATACGTACCTGACTGTCTAGACCCAATAAGATGACCATCACAAAGAACAAAACAGACCAAAGTGGAGCAAAGGGCATTTGAGCAACAGCCTCAGGATAGGCAATAAAAGCCAAACCAGGACCTGAAATGAGAAAAGGACACATTGAAAGAATATATAACTGACTCCTTAGTCAGCAATATTTTACAGAAGATGTCAGTTAGAATGAAGAGATCCTTCTTTTTCTATAAAACAATAGTAATTATACTTAAGAAGCGTGATTTTTCCCATACAAAATGGGTGGCGTGATGTAATTGAATATTAATATTTAGTATTTAAGCCAATTAATGCAGGCCATGCCTTTCATATATTCATTCTTCAAGCATATTCATTATGATTTTTTGAAAGAAGTTTTTTGTGTCTTAAAAATTTGAGGTGTTGTTTTGAGTCACGACATGCAGAGGATTATGTATTTCTAAATTATTTATTAATCCCCTAGGCCTCTTGGCGAATCAAGGTGAAGTACTTTCTAGAGATAACCATGTCAAGACAGCTTTATCACTAATATCTCACTATAATTCATCACTTGTGTTTATTTTTCTGCTCGAATTCTTGTTTTTATAAAGATCTATTTTTGGCAACTGACACGTTAAGTCACCTCACATTAAATGAATTTATATTTTTCGTGCAAAAATTTCCATCGCTGCAGACAGCATGCTGTTTTCGATCCATTAACCCTATCAGTAATTCTTTGCATGTTTTTCAGCTTTGAATTTTGTCAGTGTTTAGCTTAAAGTCAGTAGTTAGACACGCTTAGGATATTCCATGAATATAAAGCTTAGAAATGATTAATTTTTTTATGTTTTAAAAAAAATACTAAATGAATATATATTTGGTGATTAAAAACAATACTGGGAAGACCAATTTACAAACGTAACAATAATGAAAACTTTCCTCACGATAAAAAATATACAATGTCTTAGTTTATTTTTATTTTATTTTTTTACTTATGATAAGAATGCCTGTAAATGAATTTTCTCTCACAATAGCAGTAGAAAAAATCTCCCAAGCATTATAAATTCAGAAAAAAGCCCTCGGCGTTTTATCAGACAAAACAAATCGATATTTCATTATTTTAAATTATTCATTCCACTGAAAACATCTCTTGTTTTGTTCCAAATAAATAATTATAAGTGTTGTCTCAGAGGATGCTAAATACCACGAGCGTAACCGTTAAAATGTATTGTAACTAATTGCATTTTTGGAAAACCACAGTCTATTAACAGCAATTTGTTGTTGTACCATACTTGGATAACTTAACATTAAGCCAAATAAAATCTTGGAGGAAAGTAGGTGGAGCTTAGGTATGCTACAACCAGTCTATTTTGAAGCTTCATCCCTTTCTTTTAACAATGACATGCACGGGCTTCTATTTCTTTGGATAAAACGGTAACGTTATCAATGCCATAATGAGTTCAAGCTGTCAATCATATATACCACGTGTCGTACTCATTAACACATTTAAACAAAGTCCTCCTATTCGTTTGTTGAACTTATTGAACAAAATGTCATGTCAAGTCATTATTGAAGTCCGTAAGTGAAAAGTCAAACCTACCCTGAAAATTATATTTTGCCAAATTTTTCTTTATACAATTCACGTCGGTTATAACAGATATTTTTTATCTTATATTCTGCTGAACTGATTAAACTATATATTTCAATTACTCTTGTCTGTTCCTTATGAGTGTTGTATACTCACTTCACTTCACGTAATAATGCAAAAGTGGGCATCCAAACTACCAAACTGTTTTAAACTTTTAACATCAACTGACAGATTGCTTGGTATAATAATAGAAACTAGTGTTTATTTTAGTTATTTTTTCTTATTTACCAAAACATTAACCTAGATTTTACATGTCGAGGAATTGTGTGATGATGTAAATAGGTCAACGACTGAACCAATTACAGATTTTCAGATGTAGTGGGGATGTTTACCATTTTGTAGCCAACTTGAAAGAAGGTATAACAAACACGTCAAATATTCATCTTCATGGTAATTCCAAGTTAAGTTATAGGCCCTCCCTATTCCAAAAGGGGGGGGGGGATGTGTTTGTGTCTTTCGTTTCTGAAACAACGACTGTCCAGTTATAGGCCCTCCCTATTCGACAGGGGGGGGGGGGGATGTGTTTGTGTCTTTCGTTTTTGAAACAACGACTGTCCAGAATGTTAAAACCTTTGGATAAACCTTTTTTTTCGGTTCAAAATGCAATCTGAAACACTGATGAATTGTGGAATGCATATGTTTTATATTTGGAAATCGTTTACTTACGTGAGTGCCAGTGCTCGACAATACCCACCTAATTGCATACTGAATTTAGGACTGTTTGAGAAGTATTACAAAAAAACCAGATATTTGCTGTTACTCAAGGGTTTCACGCTGTGTTATATATTATGACGGTATGTTTGAAGGTATCAACTAATTAATGGAGTTTGTAGTTCATAACAAACCTAATTATACGATGTTTAGAAAATAATTAATTTAGTTTGTCATTAGACCAGCTATGTTACAGACAACTTGTATATAAAACGATGGCCTGGGTCACAAATATAGAGAGATCACCTTCTAAAATTGTATTCTGCAACACACCCGTTGGTCTTTTTTTCCATAGTTCAGAAAAGGGGTAGACTAGGTATTTTCTTCAACTAAACAAAGGCTTTTATTTTTTCACCTACCTGATTCTGCTACTTCTGATATGCTAACATTTTGTTGTTTAGCCATAAAGCCAAGTACTGAGAAGGTGACAAAGCCAGCTAGAAAGCTAGTACCACTGTTTACAGCAGCAAACATAACAGTATCACTGCAAAATACAAAGATTGATATAAACGAAAAATGTATATAATTCTTTGCACTAAGAGTGCTTGAGGCTTTATGTTCAGAAAACCGAAAGGCATATGTCCTTGCTTGTTTCTTAAACATTGTATCGATCTTTTCAAGTGGTACGTGTGGTAGGAAGCTATGGTTTAGCTCCCAGATATGAACATAACTGTATTACAAAGTTCAGTATTACCCTGACGATGGTTGCCCCTTTGCCTAAATTTTGGTAAGGAAATTTTCCTTTTCTGTGGGCGTCCAACTGTGTTTAAACAAGTAAGTATGGCTTACCGATAACAATTGTGGTGAAATTTATTGTAGCTGCCTAATGCGGTAAGTGTACCCAAACTGATAGAATAGGAAAAGAAAATCTGAGTACCGGCATCAACCCAAACCTGAAAACATAATTAGTGGTACAGGTTACATTATGCAATCAATAACGAAAAATAGCCTATAGAAGATAAGCACACGTTACCAAATAATACGCGATTGGGCATCACCCAAGCAAACTAGAATATTGAAAACATAAAATTGAAAAAAAAAACTCACTTGTGGTTCGGCTAATTTGGACCAATCAGGGAGCAAATAGTATTTTATGCCTTCCGATGCGCCATCTAGTGTTACACCACGAATCAACAAGACCAACATCAGGATGTAAGGACTGGTAGCCGTAAAATACATAACCTAAATAAACAAATAGAAACACACGAGGATATATTAAAAATTTCCTAAAATATATTCTGAAACAAAAATATTTAATTTTCTTTACTTTTTTGAAAATTATAGAAAAATTCATTTACAGTTTACATATTTTCTAGGAAAGAGAAAAAATCGGTGCCGATGGATAACTTGTGTTTCCAAAAAAGGGATGTGAATCACAATATAATTTTACCGCTCATTTAATCAATGAGACTTTGTCATGATCGAAAGTGGTGTTATTTGAAAGCTTTTGAAGTCCTCCAACGACACCGCATTCAATTTAAGGTTTATCACAGGGGGGTTTGAAAAAATACTAAAAGTTATGGATAAAAATTCTGCAAACATGTTATTAAAATTTTAAAACAAAATAATAGAATATCGGTGTTACAAAAGCACACTCAAAGAACACCGATTCAATAGATCACCTTTCCAGAGCTCTTAATGCCCTTCCAGATGCAGAAATACACCACGATCCATGCGAGTAACAGACATAGGGCCAGGTCCCACTTGATGTTGCCAGGAGACCCCACACCGCTGGACAGTTGCAGGACTTTCCGCCTGAAGAAATTTCTACACTATAATGGCTGTTTATTATTAGTTTAAGCGACTGCAACATATTCTTATATATGTGCAGCGCCGAAAAGAAGATGCCGCCATATTGAAAACAAAATGGCGACAACAACAAAGCAATAACAAGAGAGGTCAAATAACAACACAATATATCATTGTTTAGATGATGATGTGAATTGGATATTTAGTAAGATGGCAGAATTCTATTCTGCATTTTGGACAAATTTGGTAAGATTTTTTTTCTCATTTTCGATCAAGATTAACTATTCCGTTTTGTATTTTTTTTTTTAGTGATTTTAAACAGTACTTATCATAGTTGATGAAATTTTGCTCAGCCAGACTAATTTTGTGTAGAGCCTATCAGTCATGGGTAACTGTGGGGTTTCTAAGCCCCTCAGTTTATGCATCACAACTGATAGGGAACATCTTGGGGACGCATCGATGCCAAAGATAGACACCGCTTCTTATCAGAGAAAGTTAACTTCATCAGTAGAAGCAATGCCTAAATAAGCTGAAAACTAGAGCTTGTTTGGGAAGGGTCTTCCAACGTTGATTTCTATGATCGAGAATAAAAAAGTTTTGCAAAGAGACAAATTGGCAATGACTAAATGGCTAAAATCGTATGCACTCATGTACATTAATGCCTTTTGAATCCTTAAAACTAACAAATGCTATTAAATATATATATAACTTTCATATATAAATACTTCGAGGTTCAGTGGTTCATTCAGATCATCACCCAAAGGCGAATGCTTCAAATGGTACGGATCCTCATTTGTCCGGGGATGTCGTTATTTCAATTTGCCCACAGTATACATGTCAACTGTGTGAAATCCAGTCATCTGGATAATGATCTGAGATAATGTACATAAATTTTCAAATTGCAAGGCACGATCACAAGAATGACCACCAAATCTCGAAGAACATAAATGGCAATGGGGACTAATGAAGCTCGTAGTTAAACTCTATGTAATCAGGGCACCGTTACGAGGGACGGTATTCTAAACAATGGACAAATAAATGCGCTCTAAGCACTTGTAAATAACTTCAGAATGTACATAACCAAACGGAGCAATTAGTATATATAAATGTACCTCTCAAGATGATAATGATAATGAAAAAAATGATAGTGAAATGATAATGGAACTTAATAGCAATGAAGATGAAACAATGGTGTGTTCCATCGATGTCAATGATAATGAAAATAACTCTCATAAAAAATCTATAAGGATTGTTACTAAACAGAAGCCGGTATATCTGAATCTCAATTTATTTGAATTGCTTTCAATAACCGACCTTGGTTCAAAGGTCTGGATTCTATAAGAGTTTCGGTCTTAGTAACAGCCCTTGTAGCTTATTCAAAATACATTTCATCAATAAAATAATTTTGCAATATTAAACACGATATTCGATTGTTACTGTTAGCAATGCAAAAAACCCAACAAATGTGAAAACCAAATGGAGTTACATTATTGAAATTTAGACCTACCTTTCAGGCACTGAAGTAAAGAATATTTTTCAGATTGGCCAAATATTTTTCAAATCCTAAATGCCATCTCAACAAACAACAATGGCAGAAGCCCAGAGCCATAGATCATAGCTTGAACATGATATACATTTTTATATCTCGCAGTACACAATATTGCGTATTTCAAGCTCGCGAGCAAAGCAAGCCATCATGCAGTTTTCTTGCTAGCAAAAATATTGTTTATATTGAGTTTTCTCTATGAATCAATAGAAATTGAAATTGCAGTTCATTTTCCGAACATTTAGAATATAAAAGGTTCCTGATGTATTATTCAAATATTGGTTAATTAATTAATTAATTGAGGTTAATGCCCTCAACCAGGTTGTTTACTACGGTGCTCAAATACTCTCAAATGCTTCATGTGCATAATTGTACCCGAAACCAAGAACATTATCAAATAATTAGAAAAGGGCGGGTTATCTTGTCTGCACCATAACAAAATTCATCCTAGCTTTCTAAGTTTAAGGCATAACTACTATTGTTTATGCTATATGTTTCTGAAACACTACCTTTTTCGTCGTACGCATTGATTTTTTGAATATCCGTACAGAAAAGACTAAGATGTAATGGCCCAAATTCGTCGCATTACTTAGTCGACATTAATGATTAATCACGAATCGTATTGGTTGAAGCTGAATGACTGCCAAGTCAGATTTTGTAAAAATGTCATTTAATCACGAGGCTCAGGTCGAGGCGTGAATGTTAATTCGTGCCCTGAAATTATATGTAACTAGCCAGGATTAAATTCCATCATCGGTTAAGATAAAACATATCATACCCTTTCAACGAATAACATGTTTAATATTGCAAAATTTAATTCAAAACTAATATTTTATATACGAAGTTTATATTTTTCAGTTAAATACATTGGTCATAATATTTTACGGCGTTTTACTCAAACCCAAACTTCTTTCGACTTTGAAGATTGAACACGCGTTTTTAAATGACCTGCAGTAAAATCAACGGAAACAAGATAAGCATTTTTAGAGAAAATGTACTATTCACTAACGCACCAATTTGACAAAAAAAAAAAATACTCAAAATGTAGTGTTGCGTTAAGTGAATATTAGCTGTCTAACAACCGCAACAACTTTCAAAGCCGAATGCTATCTGGGTATGAGTTTGAGGGTTTCAAGTGACTTCAACTGTTTGCAAATGTTGAAACTGCATTCTAGATAGCATTTTTCTGAAAAACTGATCAGGCGATGTGCCATCGAGGAGTGCTTTTACAACTTCTGCAACAATGACGGTCTTTAATGATAGTTTTTCATTACGTATGGAAATCTTAACAAGACATTTTTCTGTAGGGGCTCTCGAAAGAGCATTGTTGGAGTTTAACACTCACCTCTGAGAGCTGAAAATGAGCTTTAGATAATTTAAGGGCTTGGCAAATTAGATAAGTGCAAAAAGTTATCGGGTGCTTTATATATATATAATATAGTTAGATACCTTGCACAATAAACTTACTGCAAAATTCAAAATTATTCATATCATTATGAAAATCTTCGAACCAAATAATATAATTTGAAAAGTGTTGAATTTCTCAATAATTCAAACCAAAAAAAATAGTTTATTTCAACAACCTTTTAAGTTTTTTTTTAAATGGTGGCGTATTTTCTCCAAAATCCTGCTTTTGCTTACAATATCCAAGATGGCGACTTCTCGAGAAAATGATAAAAATAAGATCAAAAATATTTCCGCCATATTAATTTATTCTCAGATTTCAAATTTTGCAGTGAGCATGTCTAAAGAAAAAAAAAGAAATTATTGAAAATTATACATACTCCCAGAATTCTGTTACGGAATCAATCACCTGACCGGAAGTGTTCTGGTTCAGGCTTAAGTTGTGCGTCATAGTTTGGTACAAGACGGAACCATTGAAAGCAGACGACTCGTTAAAAACTGACGTCAGATTGGTACCATTTCCGTCACTGATGCGATTATCAAAACTTCGACAATTGTCCGTGTTCCAGTCATTATCACAAGTAGACCATGGTAAAACGGCTTGAAATGATTGGAATAGGTAATAGAACGCCCAGGCTAGGATGATGTTATAGTCTATATTCAATAAGAAGACTATAATAGCACTGGCGTAACCAATACCTAAAAGAAAACAGTCGTAACATAAAAGTATATGATTACTGGCTAAAAAGACGAGGTTTGGTGTCGGTTGTCGGGATGAAAGACTGTTTTTCACGAAAATTCACAGCAAATACTAGAGGACTTGCTTAGATTTCCATAGATAATATGTGATAAATTAATGTCAAGTCATGTCTAGGCTAGCAATACTTCAGGCAAGACATACGCATATTTGGCCACGATTCCAATGTCTTAAACAAATTCCAAGATAGTTTACCTTGAAACATTGGACAAAGTTTCCAGGGACCAATTCCACCTTCAGACATGAACTGACCGATGGATACTTCTAAGAAAAACACTGGTATACCACCACATATCACAGCTATAAAGTAAGGGATCAGGAAGGCACCTGTAATAAACAAGAAACAGGATTGCTATAAGTGCTTTGTGAGATATATTTCTATTGTCCAATCGAATCAATGGCAGCATCAAACGGTATTTCGGTCCTTTCTTTTTGCAGGTTTTGTGAGGTAACGCCTGTACGGAATTACTATCGACAGATAACGTTTACATGTCGGAGTTTTTGTATCTGGATACAGAATACTACTATAACCACATCATTACTTTAATTCCTTAGAGTCCAGTCTTTAATGAATATTTGACATTTGAAGTTGGTTAAACCATGAATTATTCAGTCGAAGTTGATTAAGTACCTGGTAATTATCATTTTATTTAATGATATACCAATGATGTTTGTCTTATTGCACGCGATCATCTATTTCAAAGTCGTACTGGTTTGTGAGTAGCCATATAATTCACGGAAATTGTTTTTCTTTTCTTAGTTTTCTTATGAAGGATAATCAATTTCGTGATATTTACGACTTTTACGTAATTAAATGCTGTTATATTTCACGCTTATCGACACTTCTCAAAAAGAATGCAGGGATCGATTATAAGCAAGAGGGATCATAAAGTCAAAGGGTTCCTCTAATCCTCCTTATTTTTTTAATACTGTATTACAAAATGTTAAAAAACCATTACTTTCGACAAAGCATAAATTATCAATAATGTACAATTGCTAGTTTCTACCTTTCCGAATTTCGGACTAGCACTATATGCAATATCTTTCATTAAATACTCTACGGTATAAAACTCTCAGAAAGATTTTCTAAAACGGACTGAATTTTTCTTTAGTTAAATCACACGAGAAATCAACTATTGTTTTATAGTAAGCCTGTTTTAATAAATGAACATAGGTTTCATGTCATGTGGAAGGTAATGGCTTTCATAAGACTTATTTTGACAACAAAAATATTTGACATTTTTAGGGGTGGGTGATACATTATCACGTTTAATACAGAGATAAATTACACGGGACATCCGGCTGTCCGAGATAAGGACTTTTAAGTGTAAAAGAGTTCACTTTTCTAAAAGTAAATCTGAATGTATTAAAATGTACAAGCGCAAAATATTCATTAGGCATAATGAAGATCGTCAAATTTATAGCTGTAACATCTACAATAACAAACGTTGCATGAAAGCAGTGGCAGTAAACATACAAGACTTGCAGAAAGGTATCCTATCTGATATTTTGCCTTCCCTTTGCCCTAAACGTTTGAGGATGTCTTCAGAAAATCAATGGTCGAAGTTTGAACACTTATACAATCTTTGACAGATCATCGAATTTGAACGCGCGTATTCATGGCTATAAAGTAGATTTGCAACTCTACAAAGCCTTTTTGACATTTCTACCCATCCTTTTCTATACAATCGTCTTTATTAAAGTTTGAATCAACTTGACACAATATCGTGTCATCGTCCGTTCCGCTAGCCATGAAAGTTACCGTAAACTTTTTCATATGAATGGAAATTTTGTCAACTAAGGTTAACGAGAGGCTATGCCTCGGCTTCAACCTTATTTCTTCTTTAGTAAATTAATTTTAGAATCTTTGTTACTATTGTATAATCATTCTTTTTCACAACAAAAAGGGGGGCAATTCTTGTATGAAATTTTCACCATAATATTCTTAATATCAAATAAAGACACCGGATACCACTTTTCATTATGAAATTCCTATGATTGGTATAATCTTCTCATGTGAAAAGTTCATTAGCTGTTACTAATGTTTCGTTGTTTGGGTATCTGGTTTTGTTTTGCGATATGGATCGTTCGTACTTGGTTCATATATTCAGTTTTATATCTGCTTATAGATGTGTAAATATATTATGATAAGCATTGTGAATACTGGCAAATACCGCCACTTTAAAATCACTATGCTAAAAATGTGACCAAGTACAAATGGCCTTTAGCGTCCATGTGATAGAAAATACTGGTTAGGTTGCCCTTTTTTTAATATAATACACCGAACTAGGACGTCCTGGTGTATTTTATAAAATGCATTATATTGCACCTGGCGATATATTGGCATTTAACAAAAACATCTGCTAAAAACTATAATATGCATTGAACACGTCCTGTTACCAGCTGGCAACCAGAATCTACCACCCGGGGTATTTAGAGCGTCCTAATGACTCATTCCAGAATTATTCTGCCTATCCAAAATGAGGAATGCTTAGGACATGGAAGTGTTATTCAACACATACGTAGACCATTTCATGATAAAATCATGATATTCCCTGACTATTAGAAACCACTCCACAAAACGCGTATAATCAGCATTAATGGCACATTCCCTTTAAATACTGACCTACTTCGCAATCGACATTTTCGACACAATTTGACCTAACAGAAACAAAGATATCATTTCTACGAATACAACGCCTTTGTCAGTTTACACAGAATGCCGTCTGCTTATCTACAGTGTTTTTAACAAAGGTTGTTAAGAGATTAACGTGCATGTTATGGTTACATAGTATGCAGTTGATGTGCAGAAAACCAATGGTGTTCGTTAATATCCACGCCCATTGAAAGCAGACACCGTTAAAGGCGTGAAAACTCCGAAACACCCTAAACAGCATTTCAATAGGTCGTCGTCAAAAACACAACGATCTGCTAACGCTGTGTAATACACTTTAGAGCGTTTTCGCTTGGCTTAATCCAATGAAATCGCAATCAAACTGTCACGTGAGCATACTTTAGAAAAAACTGAACCTAATATGAGAATATTCACTGCACCCAGTGGTGATATTCCCAAAACGAGGACCCAGTGACTTCTTTTTCAGGTTTAGGTCGTTAATTGTACATATAAAGTGCTTTGGCTTCATTGTCACGGTATGATTAACATGTGTGCTTTCGCCTACGCTCGTGTGGACATAGAACAACGCGAAGTAACACGCCGTGTCATTTTACGCGGCGTGAAAACGCAACATAAATTGTGTATGTGGACACAAGCCTTAATTCTTTTTAATACAACGTCTAACTAATAAAATGATAGGCGATATGTTACTGTTAAAGTGATACTAATCTGAAGTGTTAACTTCCTTCTGTTAAGCAGCCAATATTCCGAATTTCAACCACCCGTTCCACCCTACAGGATGATCATCACTAGCTTACAGGTCATCTCGACCCTTATAATCGTAGATTACTGGGCATATACTTGACAAGCATTAAGCTTCATGCATAGGGTTGAGGTTAGAGAGTCGATCCACCAATATCAATTCAGATTAACCTTAATTGCATGCTCTACCTAGGGAACATAGATGTCTATAAATCAGACATATACAGATTAATTTGTGGTATAATAGATCTTATCTCGGTTTAACGCAATCGCATCCACGCGAAGCTTTCTGTTCATTCCAGACATGGGATTTAAACTAAATCGTGACAAAAAACAGAAAGTAATACACTGAAATACGAACTGAAAGTCAAATTTGATATCTATCAGATGGAGATGAACATGGCTAACAATACCAATGACGCAATCGTTTGTTTTTATATTCGACATTTTGATGTATTCATTCATGGAACAGATAACCCAAATACACGATTAACATGTGTGTAACAACCATTAGATTGACGTCAGTAATACGTTTCTTGGCAAGCTTTATTGTTTTGGTGTTTAGTTATGCTGCAAACTGATCGTGTTGACTGTTGCCATGTTATCACTGGCTGGTGTGGGATATACACACCCACTGTAAAGATAAAAACATGCCAGCGTTGCTATCTAGTAACCTTGACCTTGTAATGAATTAATTCATTGGAAAAGATTTGTCTATATTTGTAAAAGAAAACAATACATGAGTGCCCATCCCTTACATACCAATGCTAACCGAAATGATACATGGAAGGTGCGTTCCAAAATGTCATTTTCGTATTTACTTATATATAACATTATTATTCTTAAACTAAAACAATACAAAATCACCCTTCCTTAAATGCAAACCGAAATCTGTTCCAAAGAGCAAACAACAAACCGTTGGCATACTGGTACTTAGGTATTTTCTTCTTAAATATAACAAATGTTTGAAAATGTCATATTCGGATAAGAATGGTATAAATTAAAACCTGTTCAGCAAAGTCAAAGAGAATATTTCTTAAACTGCTTTGTTTGAAAAAAAAAGTCGAACTTGCCTCATACTCTTAATTAACCAAACAAAGTTTCGCTAAAAGAAGCATTCTTGAGTAAGCGACCATCGATTTGTATCCGATTAATGGAACTGTGTTCATCAGTGTTCATTTCGATATATTGATGGTACCTGTTTGAAATATTGAATACGACCCCATCAGTCCACAATCAACAACAACTGAGCTCACCGGTCTCAAAGGTCCTGAGTGACTGGTGAAATAAATAGCGATAATATGCCAAAAGACTGTGCTGTCTGGCCAATCATTGCAAATAGATGTTTACATAATCTTAACTAGAAATTTCTAGACTGCTACATAATACCCCGTATGCAATTTCCAGATATTTCTGGTTCTATTCGAGTCTAGAATCTTCTGCTTGCATCATGATTTCAAATCTCTTACATAGTGTCCACGTTAAAGATGCTAATTCTTCTGGGTCTGTGACAATACCGTCACTTTTGATTTCAATTAATATGATGCAAAGATTTTGGAACAATGCTTCAAGGTTTATGAGGATTCTTAAAGGAGATCCTTTCAGTAACGACAGGTAAGTAAAGTTGTACATTCAGCAATGATAAATTCCGAATATTTTATACACGATGTTTTATAAAACATGAAAAACAACTTATAAAACACGAAAAACAACGTGGACTCTTTAGCAGTTATAATCGAGGTCAGTTGACAATTTCCGATCGCAGAGGGGTACCAAGTTATAGGAAGTATAACAGGCTACGATATCTCGATATCTGTACATGGCATAGAAAGTCTATTTGTGGAAACAAATATGTCAAATTTTATCCAATTGATTCGCTACGTGATGTTAAAAGATTTACTTCATAACATCCAGTCAGTCAGGCACAAAGAATTACAATTTCCGTTGACCGATTTTTTATGATGAATATCCACGGACGATTATTTAGCTCGCCCATACTAATACATAGATTGATACAACGTAATTTTATTTTAATTAAAGCATAATTAATTACATTGTTTAAGAAAATAACTGTATACTGTACTATAATAAATAACGTGGCGTTCAAGCCCTAGACACTTGGAAAGAGAAAGAAAGTGGGCTACAACCTAAATGATTCACATATAAAAATCAATTAAAACCCACTGCTAAGAAATATGTTTTCCACAACTAACTTGCCAAATAACCAAAAATAAACTTGAAAGTCTTATTTTAAGAAGTCAGTTTTTCATAATATAAAATTCCGGTATGTTTTGCAATCCCACAAATGTTATAGGTAAATAGAAAAGAGGAAGCTTGTTCCATTTTGAAACCTTAGAGCTAAGCCGACTTTCATTCGACCTTTGTAGAATAGAATTTATGTAGGAAATGTGGGAGAAAAAAGGACTAACGATAACAATATTTTGTCTGGCATTAACTAAGCTATATTGTTTGAAATCTTTGGCTAATAGGCTGTTATAAACATATGGAATTACCCAACCAAGATTAGTAATAAATTGCATAAACATTACCTATTTGATCTTCAAGTTTCAAGTTTGTTGATGATTTGTATTCCAAGTAATACATTATGTTTTATGATTGTAGAATAAATAATTCATTAATATAAAGAGTCTAACAGCGCAGTTATAACTGTTTTATCATTGCACTGTGATAACCAAAACTTGATTGCTACTTGTGGAACCTTACATGAAACGATTTTATTGGTATAGCAGATATAACTGTTATATCATTACAAAGAGCAAGTAACTCGATTCGGTCAAATCCTTTAAATGCAAATTAAAATACTTCTGCCATTCGACTTTAAAAAAGTGGTGTTATTTCATCGAAATTTCAAGAAATATTGAGGAGCTCAATTCTAAATAACTCATGTGTAATGTTACTAGCTGGATGTATAATTTTTCGATTCCGAACTTTATAGTTTCTCTTATATCAGATAGTTATTGCTAGTGGTCATAAAACTTTACTTGTGTAATGAATGTCTGGTGCTCATGATATTACCAACACGTACCGCATGCTGATCTTTAGAAAGTCGGCTAAATAATCATTGTCTATTGTTTGGGTCTGGGGATATTCGTATAGTATATAGTACAGCACGAAATTCACTGGTCTAACTATTGTGCCTGGAAATTTATCACTACAAGATGCAAAAACACGTCTGACATAAATTGGTCGTTATCTGGTTTCATCGATCAAACCAAACATTGTGTAAAGAATGGAATTCTCACCTCCGCCATTTTTATAACACAGAAAAGGAAATCTCCAAACATTTCCGAGACCAACGGAAAACCCGATACAGGCCAACAGGAAATCAAACTTGCGGCCCCAGGTTTCCCTTTTCTGTAACTTTTCGTCAGCTGTTGAAGCCGTACCATCTGATGATGCGATATCTGTGTTGGCTGACCATCCCGGCTTCTCGCCATTTAATAACATATGGGAGTGATCTGGCTCTGCTTGGTTTTGCATCTGGAAAGATAAACAATAAGGTATTCAAAACTTTAAATAGTTAGTAAAATAACGGAATAAGATGTGATCGAGATCTATTTTGGGTGTTTCTGAAGAAGGCAGTAAGCCGAAACGTCAAATAATAGGACAATAATATAGTTTTAAACAATTTAAACTAAAATAGCAAAAAAAGATGCTATCGATGTAATGGTAGAACAGCCATACACTTGAAAAATCCAGTTTTGCGTCCTCCTTTCCTGTTTCAGATAAGAATGCCAAATTGACAAACCCAGTCCAAAAACGGCATCAAGTGTTCAAGAAGGGTGCGCACCTTGAGTATCATCCGCAACAGGCCTTGTTCTATACCATCCAAATGCCTATCCGGTTTTCAAATATTTAATAATGATGTTCCAATCCTCAAGATAAAATTTCTGATGCAACTGCCAGTGCTTCAGAAAGTCGGCCCGGTGTAGGCTTTCAACCATAAGCTTGAATTAAAGTTTTTTTTCCCGACAAGAAAAATCGTAGACCATAAAATCAATATAATTTTCACCTATTTATAGAATAAATTCCAGAATATATCATTATTAACCAAAAAAGGATGTATAATTTTATCACCATGGCAACGACTCGTCTGAATGCGTCAATATAGTAAGATTGAAGTAGAGTCAATTATATGTTGTATCTCTAAGGATTCCATTTCAATCTCTCAAAGCGATAAACATTTCTTATCAAAGCATGACCTACAGACAGAGTACCTCAAGAATCCCTAAACAATTTAGATAAGTTCTTTCTCCTCTATTTTGACTACTGTTTTCAATAACGGCGCTTGACGACGCTTTATCTAATTAAATTTGTAAACAAATAACAGAAGATAAAAAAGATAATTAGATTTGACGACGCCCTACACGATCAGTTTATGGAGTTTTCAGATCCATTGCTTCTCATAGGATACGCCCAGTTGACATGGACGACTCGCTCATATCGAAAAATGACGAATAAACTCTGCAAAAGTGGATAGTGAAAGAAAAACTCAACTAAATTTCTTTTTTTTTTATGTAAAATAACAAAACAACTGCTCGTTACGACTTTGGAAATCCTGTCGCACGATGAACCTGTGTTTCCTTCGTATTTGAATTACTAAACATTAATAGTGTATGTACTCTGTCTCTATTGTTTACATCTTTCATCATTAAATTTATTTTCGACGAGGTTAATCAATAAAAGTATATCAGATCTAATTTGACACAGATAAATCTATTTACCTATTAAAGGAAAATGTTGCAGACATTTTAATCTCATTTAATCGCTTTAAGCTAGTCATTACTGAAAACTCCGCCTTATCGATTGAAGAGGGAAGAATGCGGAGCTAGCAAATTAAAGTCTCAGACAATTTATTTTATCAAGTTCGTCCCGGGCAGCCTTGGACCGGTTCTTTGCAGTGGAATATTCCACAACTATCGATAAATTATTAATGTATTCAACCTTCCTCGGCTCGACACAACCGCAAATTTCATAGAAAAATTCCCTGACGTCATTTTCAGGATCTTACAGATTTGAATTGATGATTCGCAAATAATTACAAGTCGATGGAAGTCAAATATCACGTGAATGCTTGTTTAGGTTTCTCCGAAAAGATAGTTGAATTGATGACTGGTATAACTGAAATTGCAAATTGAATATCTCTTCCTCTTTCAAACACGACTTTCATTTTCATACTTAAGTAGGATATCTGATATAGGTTTATAGCGTTCCTTCCCAACTTCAGTCACGCTTTCAATATACATGTATATTTAAAACTAAATCACAACACCATTCGCTTTCAATTCTGCATTTCGTTCAAAGTTATTAATTATTCAAAGTATATATCAATGGTTTAACTTTTACAACCTATAAAAACACTGTAATTATAGATTTTCAACCCAGTTTTACCAATGGTCAATGGTGTTGGGCGGAGGGAAGGCGTCTAGTCGTTTGGTTAGACAAAAACGTTGTTTAGACAATGATTGGAAAGTCTAATGGAATTGTCCATGCCAAATTACCCTCAATGCAAACTGCGAAGGAGGACGTAAATTTCTATTTGATCAGGTCAAGTAAAGTAGTATGATTCAGAAGAAAATATTGTTTGGGAAAGCGTACGGGTGCAACGAAAATTCCTGTTTATTTTCAGACATTTGAAGAGAATACCATGTTCTGCATTGTGCAATGCCAGCATTTTATAGGTAAAAATATATTATATGTGGAGGTAAAATCTCATTTATATCCCAAGGAGAAAAATATTTACTCAAAACTTTTTGCACCTGTACACTTGTTAAACTGGAGGTTCGCTCCCCGTGGTGCTTGCATGGAAATAACTTCCATGTAATAATTTCCATGTACGAACCATGCGTAGTTTCCTATACGGTCCCGACATAAGTGGAGATATATAGTGAATATCACACTATATGCAGGAAACTTGTACATAATTATGTAAACAGCACGTGTTTAACATTATTTCTTAGAAAAGGTGACTCATAGAAATTTCCTATTTTAGTAATGTAAATTCCAAAAAAAGTGAAAACTTAACTAAAAGTCGATACTAAAGTTAAGTGTTTATGTAAATCGCATAATTTCTTAATGAAATGAAATGGAAATTCAAACTTTTATTCAGTCGGATTCGGAAACTTCACTGTGGAAGGATGTTCCAGAAACTCTATAAATATTATCAAAAATAACATGAAGTTTTCGCCCTACTTTTCTCTACCTAATTAAACCACAGCATTGTACAATGAGAGACATTTTGTCAGGACAGCGGCATTAGTGTACTCTTTTCCGATTTTCCAACTGTCGAGTCTGTAGCACACAGGATCTCGGTTTATTGTCCCAACCGAATGACAATATGTTTTACTATGGCAGCCCCTTCGATCTTTATCACTTACAGGGAAAACCGGGCTGGATAATCCGTCGAGATTGAACCATGAGCCTTTCGGTTAGCGAAAATTATAAAACATACCACACAATCATTATGCATTAACCAGCCCATATACGCAGGCAAATCAAATTATCAGCCGTGCATATTTTATTAGTGTACTTTAAAAAAAATTCCGAAAAGTACACTCAAAATAGACTTCTAAATTGCAATAATTGCTTTGTATTAAAAACTCGCCAACACCCTGAATTGCTTTTATGTCGATCTAAATACAAAAAAAAAAATATTGTATAAGTCTTAAAGTGCTTCTTAGCTTAAAGGGGAAGTATGTAAAATTTGCATAACCAAAAACGTCGTAAATTATATCTGAAAAAATGTCTTGATATGCAATTTATATTTATGTAGCCTAACACCTTTCAAAAGCATAACGAAACTTAAAAGTTTACGTCAACCTTTTTAATACTTTAGATGTTAAAAAATTACCGACTGGATTTCTTCCACTTGAGTTAAGGTGCTAGATTTTGGTGTATAGTTTTCAAAAATTTTGACCAACAAAAAACATAATGCCCATTGAAAGGTTTAAACAGAATATTGAAAGACCATATAAATGACGCATAAGCGTTTCACAATGAGCTTTTTTACCGCACACAAACAATCACCTAACAACACAAATAGGTGTCAAATCGTTCTACGATTTAAATGGATTTTTTTTTATTTTTAACACATTATGTAAATTAAACCATGAAAGATTTTGTATGTTTTGGATCCCTTGAAACGTGTCTTTTGTGCGATTGTCCCTAACATAATGGGAAAATCATATTACGTATGTTTTTCGATTCTCGGTACAATGCACATTTCAAATTCCAATTTGCATTGAGGCAATCATCCAATTACGATTTATTGCTAGCTATTGCTGATATTTAATTTTATTATGTTGAGGCAGACAAACATATTTTATTGGCCGATTGAGGCGAATTTTAAAATTAAATTCTGCCCGTGTTTGGCGTATTTTGTCGTGCGATCGATATTTCTTAAACCAATCGGACTTGATTCTGTACCAATCACGTGGTCGATGACAAAATTCCGCCGAGTGATACACGTTCCAAAATATTCGCTTCGTGTGCCCCTCCATGAAAAATTGCTGGCGATTTTGATCGTCGTGATCGGGCTCGTATGTCCTTAGCTTTGGATTCAACTGATGCGTATGCGTAATGCTTCGGTTTGCACCTTTCGCATTTCCTACTGACTTCTTTACTTTCTATAACATCAGAAAACCTGTTTTAACCCATTTACATAATCCGCAATTTGTCCTTGAGATCAATACTAGTTACGGTTAGTAACATTTTAGTTGGTCATAATAATGTATTTAAATTGACAAAAGGTTCGTGTCACGCTGTCTATGCGGGCTCCAGATAATATACAATCCTTATTAGGATTTAAAACTTTATAAAATTGCACTGGGGGTATATGAGCATAATGACTTGACTCGTCGAACATTCTGTTTAATAATTCCGGACTTTAAAAACCCTACAAATAGTCTCAGCCAGTTGTAAAATACACAAATAGAATGGCATTTCATTTTTACAGAGAACACAAGGTTCAACATAAGACATCAAAATGTCGAATAACCAATTTTAGATGTGAAAATCTTTACCGGCTCAAACATGTTGATAAAGGATTTAAATAAATAGTCTTTTCTACTCATTCACAGTATACCAACACCAAATGTGTCAACTGTCATTTCCTTTGTCAAAATCGTCAAAAAAGGACCCAACAGAAAATTGGAACAAAAAAACGGTTCATTCTGTTTAAAAACAAGTTTCAAAACTAAAGCTCTGTGTTTCGTAGGCTGAACAAAAGTGTATTGCCACCGATTTTGTCTTCCATAAACTATCTCTAAAGTGTGTAACTTATTTGATAAATATCTCCTACCAGTGTTTGTTAAAACATTCCTAAATGATTGAAAAAAACAGATCATCTAAAATCGAATGAATTGGATTGAACTTGACAAAAAAAAAATAGTCAGAACCATCGTTGATATGGGCACACAAACAAACAAAAGCATCGCGATTTAAATCTT